GATCCAAAGCGAGCTCGCTGACAGCAGGGAGCCTGATGTGGGGCTCAAACTCATGAACCCTCAAGATCATGACCTGAGCCAAAGTTGGACAGACTTTGGAACAGACTGAGCCACCCAGGTGCCCTTAGCGTACACCTTTCAATGAAGCATAAATGTGTTTACTAACAGACGCAATTGTCTTTAGTTTTTCTGTGATAAGAAGTCAAAAGCAGATAAACCTTATGTTTGGTAATTAATGTTTTTGTATTTTGTCTTATTCAGAAAAGACTTAGATATGCAATGAATTCAGTCCACTTTTATCATTTAACTTAGCCCAACTTCAAAGTTTCAGGTTACCAAAGACTTTGGAGGCTATTTAAAAGCTTATTGATGGGGTGCCTGGGTGGTTCAGTCAGTTGAGCATCCGACTTCGGCTCAGGTCATGATCTCATAGGTCGTGAGTTCGAGCCCCGTGTCAGACTCTGTGCTGACAGCTCAGAGCCTGGAGCCTGCTTTGGATTCTGTGTCTCCCTCTCTCTCTGCCCCTCCCCTGCTTGCATTCTGTCTCTCTCTCTCTCTCAAAAATAAATGAACATAGAAAACTAAAATAAAATAAGATCCAATTTCCAAAGATCCCTCTTTTATTAAAACAAATCTAATTGTAAGAGAGCCTTATAGTTTATGGATCCATGAATTAGTTATTTCCGATTAGAATACGGCCAGCTTTGTGCCAAGATCCCACAAGCTGCAACAACAAACCCGATGAAGCCCAGGGAGCTACCGTTAGTGTCGGTTCCCCCAGCCCAAAAAAAGTCGGGGGGCTTCACTGATCGAGCCAAACAGCTTTCCTGGTTTCTGGCTGCTCAGTCTTAGGACCCGTCTCCTCTACTTGTCCGCACAAGACACTAATCCAGACACATCAAGAGAACCCCATTCAGCCGTCTGCGACTCGAGGTTTCCTGAAATTTCCCCAGTTAAGCGCTTGCAAGTGCAAGGCCCGTGTGTACTGTACAGTGACCTCCCTGAGTGGCCGTGTACCATACAGTGACCTCCCTGAGTGGCCCGTGGGGGGTCGTCGGTTTCTCTCCGGGGGTTCCATCCTTTGAAGCACGGTTCCCCCTTCCTTTTAGTTTCGGTTTCATTTTTAGAATAGGGCTGAAATGAGATCTAAGGGTATTCAGCGTGGCGGATCAAGAGGATGTGGCTTCTGAGTGTCACTTCCCAAAGCCCCCGAGACACTGACTCTCTTACGGGTCCGGGTTTCCCCCAGCGAGATCTCAGACCCCCGAGGGGGCTCAGAGCACTGGGTGGTCAGGGCTGGATGAATAGCCTCAGACACTTCCCCTAGGCCGGAAGGAGCATGTGTTCTTCCCTTTGGAGCTGAGTGATTCGGCCTCTCCTAATTCTACCCAGAAAACGGACTCAAGCATTATATTAATGACACCTGTTAGTATGATGCCAACTTCCGCCAACCAGCCCCTCCACTCCACCCTCTAGGTTACGGGTCACCTTCAACAGCTCGAATACAAGTCAGGACCCTCAGCTCAAACTGAGGAGGTCCGGGTGTCAGGAGAGCTCACCAGACGCACCCGTGGGGCGCTGAGAAGTCGGGCCGGGGACAAGTGCCGTGCGGGCACCCAGCACCGAGGCCCAGACGACCCCCAGGGGCACTTAGGCGAGTTGCTCCAATATCCTGCCAACCGCACCAAGAACTGTCAATGCCAAATGAATACACAGACATTTTCTTTTAGGGCACTTGGTAGTGACGCAGATGTACAGTGTGCGCTCGGGGCGGAAAGAGAACTCATGCTTGGGAGTTCGGTGGCGTCACTCCGACCTCAGCCAAAGTTAAAAGTGTGGCTTCCCTGGGAGCCCAGCGGCAGGGCCCACACACATTCAAAGTTGAACCTTTCCTTTATCATGGTTTTCTTCTTAACAAGAGGGAGGCGCTCTCAGGGTTTTAACTGAAGGGTGGGGAGGTGGGGACGGACCGCCTGAACTTGACACTGGCTGTAGGGTGGGTCCCTGGTCCAGGCCAGGGTCAGGGTGGCAAGGGCAGGTGCTACTTGGCCGGCTCTTTGCTTTCTTGCTGCTGTTGGTTGAAGGAGTCACGGGGACTTGGCTCTGCTGGGAATGCCTGAAAACTAGACTTTTCTTTGGGAAAATGCCAGGATGGCTTCAAGGTGGGGTTCCCCCACTGGGTGCAGAGGGGGGACTGTCTGGTGGCTGGCCTGGATGTCCTTGAGTCTGAAGGGCATCTTCGTCTCCTTCCTGGGGGTTCTTAGCCTCAAGGGCAAATAGCCCCATATTGTAGAAAGAGGGTGGGCTAGTTTCTAGAAAACAAATGCAGAAGATAACTGTCTACCCGCAATGGTTTTCTTTCCTTCCCAAGCACACCGTTAAGGGGCGCCACCTGGGGGAGCACAGGAGGGCAGGGGCGGGCTGGCGCCGCCACCGGGTGGAGAAGGTCATTCTGGACAGCATGTGGGCTCAGAAGCAGGAGAAAGGAGGGTGACAGGGAGGCAGGAGGTGGGAGGAGACAGAGGGGAAGGCCTTGTGGGCATGCTGAGCAACAGGTGGTGAAGGCGAAGGTGCTGAAGGTGGTGGGGGCCACTGAAAGGTGCCTCCCCCGTGAGACACGTCTAGCGCCCCCAAGTGTCCCCTCATTAGGACCAGAGATGCTCAGATCACCTAGGAAGTCGCGAGGGATTCTGGAGCTCTGTGTCGGGACCTGGCCTCAAAGACCAAATACTAGAACAAAAGATGCTCCGAGCGAGCACCGTTGTTACTTCGGAGATTGCACAGGCTTTAGGAGCTTGGGCCAGGAGCCAGGGATGTCAAGGAAACTATCTGTTTCTTATTATATCACAACAGCACAGTCTTTATTGGCTGCGGCAGGAGACGGGCGGCGGGGGGTGGAAGGGGGGGGTGTCTAGGGTTCTGATAATATCTCCTGCGTTCACATGTATTTTCGTATGAATTGTACGTTTCCCGCGACTTTTCAGGGATTCCAAAATTCTCGGAGGAGGTGTCAGCTCACAAGCCGCAGGCCGGGCCAGCCCGAGGGTCCCAGCGGGACTGGTGTAGACGCTACTCCCTCCAGGCCGAGCCCAGGCTCTCCTCCTTCCGGGGCTGACCCTGGCCTCATCCCTCTGCGTCCCTTCCCAACAACACAGGCTGGTGAGGGCGTTAAGGAGTCAGTGCAAAGCCCCGCCGAGCAGCTGCAGGATGGGGTGTGGTGGGATCTACATCTGAGAAAAGCACCAAGCACCCTCCTCCCCCTTCCAAAAAAGCTAGGGCCGCTAGCTCTGGGTCTGCTCGTGGAACTTCTCTGAGGGATCTGTGCTGGCCCGCTGGTCTGAGAAGCACATTTAGGGCCCTCACAGAGCTCACTGTCATGGGGAGGTCAACAGAAAAACAGCCAGGCTGTGGGTCTGCCCGGGCCGGTTCAGGATGTGCCCAGTGGAAGCGAGTCTTGGAAGGAAGAGGAGGAAGATGTGGCCAAAGAGATGAGAAGTCATGGCCCAGGGCAGAGAAAAGAGCTCCGTAGGGATCCCCAGGTACCTTGGGGGGGGGGGGGACACCCCACCCTTAAGGTAACCACCTTTTAAAGTTTTTTCACACCCTCTGAGCAGATGGAGCCCAGGCCTGGAGGAAGGGGGGGAGGGCAGCGAGCCCAGGTGGGGGCCCGGGCGTTGTGTGTGGTCCTGCACAATCTGCCGGGGCTAGTCGTCTGCGCAGGGAGGTCACAGCCAGAGCCAAAGGTGCCCTGAGGCCTCGGCCTTGGTTTCATTAGGCCGAGATGATCTACTAGTGCAGTGACCAGAAAATCTTCCAATTACACGGTCCTCCTAAGTATTTTGAGTCACAAATGCCTGACTGAGAACCTCCAGCAGCAATTAAGCATCTATATTTGTCATCTGCAAGTTCCATAATCTCTAATTAGAGGGTGAAACCTAATAATTGTGGAAAAGAGCTCTCCTTAACATTCCCATAATTGTTTCTTGGAAAGCCCATTTTGTATTCAAACATCAGTTTTCCAGCAGGGAGACCTCACGCTCCTCCTCTGGTGGAGCCCCACCCCTGCGCCCTGCCCAAGGACCCCTTCACCGGAGCTGATGGGGTTTACAAAGAGTTGGGCACAGATACCAACCTAGCCGCCATTTAGGTTTTGTTTTTTACGTGACTATTACTTTTTTTTAATTAAAAAAATTTTTTAATGTTTTATTTATTTTTGAGAGAGAGAGAGGGACAGCATGAGCAGGGGAGGGTCAGAGAGAGAGGGAGACACAGAATCTGAAGACAGGCTCCAGGCTCTGAGCTGCCAGCACGGAGCCCGACGTGGGGCTCGAACCCACGAACTGTGAGATCATGACCTGAGCCGACATCGGAGGCTTAACCGACTGAGCCACCCAGGCGCCCCCATGAATATTACTTTTATGAACAGGTGCTACATGACGTAGTTTGAAACACCCTGGACTATAAAAACCTGCGTGTGTCCCACTGCGTCTCACCCCTTTCCCATCCTTGTTGCTCAGCCCACCCCCAGGATAACCCGCTTTTTAAGTGTGTTCATAGCCTTCCTGTCCACCATCAGGCTGCGGCAGAGAACCGAGGCTGGGCCAGCAGGTGGACACGGGAGCACACGCCTCCCAACCCTGCCAACTGTCTTTTCTCTCTGACAACTGCCGGCACTGATGCTTGGCCATTGGGTACTTCCTGAGGTTTCAAGATCACGCTACCATCTTAAGGTTCTCAGAGATGACAGCCACCATCCACCACTGTCCTGCACTGCCCTCTGGGATGGCCAGAGGGACATGCCCGTGTGGACCGCACTGGCCTGTATCCAGGTGGCCATGGCCGAGCTCTGCTGCTCTGGCTTGGTCCCAAGAGGACACCAGTGCAGGCTGACGAAGTGCACCCTGGCTTGGAAGGGCCCCCCGGGTCCCCAGGGAAGCCGCGCCGAGTCCCTCCCCCCGATAAGTGGCACTGAGGCCCCCGTCTTTGTGCTTCCCTTCTAGGTCTGGTGTTGAACAGAGACCGGAGGATCACTTTGGTGAGTACTGCCGTCTCTCTTCTTCTTTCGCTATCGTAGTACAACGTACACGCATAATACTCACCGTTTTAAACTCACGCGTAAGTGTCCGATTCAGTGGCACTACATACATTCACAATGTCATACAACCGTCATCACCCCCCAGTTTTTCATCATCCCCCAGAAAAACTCCGTACCCACTGAACACCAGTTTCCCGCCCTCCCCCAGCCCCTGGTGGCCACCGTTCTGTTTTCTCGGTATGAACTTGGCTGTTCTAGGGACCTCATGTAAGTGGAATCATGAAATACGTGGCCTCCTGTGTCTGGAGTATTTCACTTACTGTTTTCAAGTCTCATCCACGTTGTAGCAGGTGACAGAATTTCATCCCTTCTGTGACTGAGTAACTCTGTCTGGATCGATCCACTCATCCATCGATCGACACTTGGGTTGTTCCCCCTTCCGGTGATTATGAATCATGCTGCTGTGAACATGGTTATGAATACGGGTTCAAGTCCTTGCTTTCGATTTTTTCGGATCCACACCTAGGAGTGGAACTGCCGGATCCCACGACAGTCCGGTGTTTAACCTCTTTGTGAAAGCGCCAGACTGTTTTGCTTGGCGGTCTTCGTTCCCACCGGCCACATGCAAGGGTTCCAATCTCTGCAGCCCCTGCCAGAGCTCCTTACTTTCCCTTTTTGAAAACATTTTAGCCGTCCTGGTGGGTGTGAGGGGTGCATGGCCTCTTTCCAATCGTAGGTCTCCTTGCAGCCAGGGCCGGGGTTGAGACGGATCCGCAGTGGGGCCGGCTCGGGTGGGGGCCACCGGGGTTTGCCCTGCACCTGGGAGACGAGCAGGGACGCCGGCGGGAGGTGCTCACACGCTCACGGCCACTCCGTCCTTCCGAGCGCCTTGCTCACGTGCTCCGGTCATCCTCACCGCCACTCCCACAAGGGAGCTCTTGGCACCCGCATTTCACGGCGGGGAAACAGAGGCAGCCTGACGACGTGGCGCGGTCAGGCAACACCGTGGGTGCGGGCTTCACACCCAAGGATGACTGAAGAACCATTACTGACACTCAGGTGCCCACACAGCAAAACGTGACGGTAAAGGCCCACCGTTGGCCACGTCGAGGGCCGACCTGCAGCCCCATCTGTGTTTTCCTACGAACACAGACGCCACCTATTTTAGTGCTCTGTTGTCGTTTGTCTAGGTTTTCACGTGAGTGGTGGCAAATGCTTCTGCGGATGGGGATTAACTGGAAGGGCATCGGGGCGTGGTCAGAGGAGCTTCCTGGAGGAGGCGGGACACAAGGCGGGGCCAGAGTGGGTGGGACCCACGTGGGTAAGAAGGGAAAGATGGAGGCTTGGACTCGGTCCCTGCGTGTTGAGATGGGGTTCCTGATGGAGGGTCTGAGGACAGAAGGGGAGAGAGGGGCTGCACAGCATGAGGCTGGAACTCACCCACGTGTCTTTCAGCAACAGAACGTAAATTGTTACATTCATATTCATATGCTCACAGGAGTGAGAAAACTAACACAAGCACGGGGCAAAAGAAGCTGGAAAGAAGAGCGCACTCTGTATGATTCCACTTACCTGAAGCTCAAAAAGCGGCAAACTGATCTCTGGGGCTAGAGGTCTGAATAGTGATGCCTTTGGAGAATACCCAGGAGGGAGCCTGCTGGGTGTTGGTGGTGTGCCGGGCTTCGATCTGGGTCACGTGGAGCATTTATATGTGAAGGTCCATCGTGAGCTGACACACACAGATCTGGGGACTCTGCCGGAAGTTACACTTGAATTACAGGAGAAAAATTGGGGGCCTGGGTTGGTTGGGCGACTTGATTTCGGCTTAGGTCGTGGTCTCATGGTTCGTGGATTCGAGGTCCGTGTCGGGGGCCCTGTGCTCACAGCACGGAGCCTGCTTTGGATGCTCTGTCTCCCTCTCTCTGCCCCTCTCCAGCTCACACGTGCTCTCTCAAGAACAACAACAACAAAAAAAAAAGTGAAAAATTTTTACAAAAGAAAACTATACACTGGGAAGTGGAAGTGGACTAGGGAAAGAAGGTAAGAGAAGGATGTAGACACAGAGATGACCCCCCGTCCCCACAAAAAAGAAGACAGGCACGCCCAGCAGCCTTGGCTCTTAAAGGCTTTCATGGAGAAGTCTCCTACTGTGGCCTTGGAAGGAACCGCTGCCAAACCCCATCCTTGTGTTGTGCTTTCACATCTGGAGACGTGTGTGGAGGGAATATCCGTCACTGCCTTGGGGACCAACATATCATTGAGTCGAGGGCCTGAGTGAGCCCACAAGCCGGAGAGCCCCAGTTCCGACAGAGAAGCCTCTGGAAGCCTGGCGAAGAGGCTGGGGGTGGGGACAGACACCTGAGCTGGGTCCTGGCGCCATCTCCTGTTCGCCGTCCTGCAACTTTAACCCCTGTGATCCTGCGGCGCTTTCACACGCCCGTCAGCACGGGTCCCCGGGAGCCCCTCTGCGGGCAGGAGCCGGCTTGGTGCTTGTCCTCTGCCGGGAGGAGAGGACGCACAGCACATCCGGGCCTTCGTAGATCTTAATTCACTGGGCCTTGAGGATGATCTGGGAATGTCTGTTTCTGGAAGAACACCCAAGGTCATTTTCACCCAAGGAGCCGGAAATGAATGGCTGGGAGGTTGAGCGCAGAACAGGGGCAATGTGCTCTCGTCGCTGTGACCCTGTGACTAGGTAGCTGTGTGTCTGTGTACACGTGTGTGCTTTCCTAAGAATATTGTATTTGTCACAGTGGTGGAGTGCCGGGCACGACAGTCCATTCTCCCGGGAGCTGGGTGGCATCGATCCGCTCAGCACATTTGTTGAGCTCCTCCTCAGTCCCGCCTCGAGTTCGGGGGTGGGGGGGTGGGCAGCACAGTCCGGGAAAAGCACAACATGAGCCTCGTGTAATTTCACGTCTCGTAGTAGCCATATTAAGAGAGTAAAAAAACAGGTGAAACCAAGTTTAATATTTTTTAACTCCATGTATCTAAGATGTCATCAATACAAATTTGAGATTATTGGATGCTAAGTCTTTGAAATCCACTGCGGTTTATACCTGTGGCACACCTCAGCGCGGACTCGCCCCATTTCGAGCACTCACAGCCACATGTGGCTGACGGTTACCTTGTGGGACAGCACAGACCTGGACACCTTCAATGGTCATAAGACAGGGTGGTCCGGGCTCTGATAGAGACCAGCAGGGGAGGTGGGGACATTGAGGTATATTCATTCTGACTGCGGCGTAAGCAGGTTTCTTTCTCATGGAGACGGCTGGGGCGGGCATGTGGGCTGCTGCCTGGCCGGGCAGCGCTGCAGGGCAGCCCGTGGATGGGGAAAGGGGTGTCAGAGCGAAGGGCCACACCTAGTCCTCAAATATAGGCCCAGAAGAAGCCCAGGTCACTTCCCTGCACTTACACAAGCACACCGGGGTGTAAAGGGATTTGAGAAATGATGTCCAGCTGGGCAGCCATGAGCCCAGAAAGATGGAGAACAGATTTAGGGGGAAAGGAGTCTCTGGCCCATGGGGTTTAGAGAGGCCTCTGTTGAGGTGATGTGTTTGGGTACTGACTTGGCCCTGGGGCAGATGGCCATGGTGGCCCCACAAGGCCTCCGTGGCCCCCAGGAGCGATGGGCTTCGCGCCCTCAGCGGCACGTGGTAACCTGTGGGAGAATTCACTGTGCTTCTGTCTCCACAGCCGGAGCATGGCATCGACTTCACCAGCAGGGAGATGTTCATGCGTTACATCCAGAGGCTGCAGACCTGCATCCTGCTCATCAAGTAAGTTTGAGCCGGGTGCCCAAGAAGAAACTTGACTGCCAGGAAACTCCACGTCTCCACGGGGCGAGGTTCCCAGTTCTCCCAGTGGGAGACCTGGCCATTTGTCACAGGTAGCTGCCCCCACTGCCCCAGCCACAGGGGCATGGAAGGCAAGGTGACGGGAGGCCTTGGGCAGCAGAGTGGAGTCGACTGCACTACACCTTTCAACAGCCGTCTGCAGGGGGCACCCCCGGGCAAGGCGGGGGCCACTCTCCCCACCAAATTTTCCAGCCACCCAGACCCAAGTCCCCACACCTACGCTGCTCTGCTGCCCTCCTCCCCTCCCCCCTTCCGGCACCCAGCCAGCAGCAGTCTCCACAGCACAGCAGACATGCTTCAGTGTGGCTTGGAGGCCGCTCCCCACACCGCTGCTGCCGGCCTGGCCTGTGGCATGCTCGAGGCAGGAACTGTGGCTTCTAGGGACACGTGTGTGTCTGGTGCTGAGCGCAGGGGTTTAGGAAGCATGGCCTCGAGATGCAAATCCAAACCACAGGGAGATGCGCTGCATGTCCCCACAAGGTTGGCCAGACTGAGTCAGACAGCCAGTGCTGGCCCAGACGTGGAGAAACCAGAACGGGGGGGGGGGGGGGGGGGGCGGGGAGGTGCTGTAACACGGAGCGGCCACTGGAAAAGCAGCCTGGCAGTTTCTCACCCAGCAACCACACTCCCTAGGCACATACGCGCCCAACACAGGCCCGCACGACGGCTGGTACGTGATGGGTCCCGGCGGCGGTGTTCCTGACAGCCCGCGGGTGGAGGACGTACCGGGCGGCCAGCAGCCCAGCAAAGTGTGGTACAGCCGCACAGCGGGCTGCGTTCCCACCGCAGCGAGGGCCGGCCTCGCACCTGCTGCACGGCTGAGCCTGGGGACATTCTGTAAAGCAGAAGTCAGCCACACAGACCCCCGTACGATTCGGTTCACACGCAAGTCCAGAGAGGAAAGTCTACAGAGGGTTGATTAATGGTTGCGGAAGACAGGGCAGTGTGTGTGCCTAAGCTGTGGGTTTGGGATGTTTGTTTTGAGACCATGAAAATGTCCTAAAATTGACTGTTGTGACAGCTGCACAATTCAAATACGCTAAGCACATGGAATGGTACACGTTAAATGGGTATGATTATGTCAGGAGAGAAAACATCGACTCAGGAGCCTGTCACACCCCGGCTCTGCCATTCAGAGGCTGTGGCCACAGGCAGGCCCTGTGACCCCGCGGAGTTAAACCCATAGCACTGGGCTCACATTGGCCACACTGAGCCCTGAGCGCTAGCAGGCGCCCCGTGCCTCAACCCTGACTCACCCCTAGGCTCTGAGGTAAAATCGGAGGCAAGCCCAGGCCGGTCTCCTCTCAGCCCGGAACCCAGGGCAGAGGGGAGGCACCGCAAGGCAGCCCGAAGGTGAGCCCTGATTTTTCTTTCACTTTCCAGAGCAACACAAGGGTTTTATGATGTGAGAAGAGAGAACGACACTGACAAGGAGCCCTTTCTTTTTATGAAGGACACAATGAAATCTGTCCTAAAAGAGGTAGGTGTGCAGGGCTGAGCCAGGCTGGGGGTCGGCAGGGTCCTCCCCCGCTCCCGGGTCCTCACGCAGATCTCTGGTCTGGCCCCAGGTCTAAAGGGGGGCTGCCAGGAGCTACCAGGCCTCACTACCCCCACGGCCACCCCCAGGAGCCCCGGGCCCCCCCCCAGCTCAGCACGGGGAACACAGGGGACAGGCAGCGTCTCCCAGCTTTATTGTCCTCACGTATCCTGCAGCCCAACTTGGCCAGAGGCCATCCCACGATTTCTAGGGTGAGCAGATGACCGGTTACACGGGTGGGTGATGGCTGCAGGTCCGAGGGAGCGTCTCCCGGTTGGGGGCTGAGACTGGTGCCTTGTCCCTGGGAGCGCCTGGCACTTGACGACCGTCACTCGTCACGAATGCCTCACCCCAGGGCCTCTGCTGACGTCCTGGCAGCGTCACCGAGGCGGCTGGCTGGTCAGCAGGCAGTGCCTCCCTTCTCCCGAGGAGGATCAGGTCTGAAAGGCTGCACACTGTTCAAGGCAGCCTTCCACAAGCAGTGGACGGGCAGCACCGCGGGCCCCTCCCCAGCCCAGCTCTACAACGTCACAGCTCAGAATGGCCCAGAAGCCCAGGGTGTGGACACTTGGGCCCCGAAACAGGTCTTCCTTGCTGGCTCTGAGCCAGGCCCTGACACCCAGAGGGTGCCTGTGCAGCCGTGGGTCTGTCACCGGCCCGAGGTTCACTGCGCAGGAGCCTCCGGAATATTGGGAGGCAGCCAGCCTGGGAAGAGGGGCCCCCAAGAGCCCCTGCATCCAGGCCTCCCCTCACCACGCATCCCCCCCCCCCCCCCCAGCGCTTCCAGTTCACGGAAGTCCCAGGCAACCACTACGTGCACCTGAACCAACCCCAGCTCGTGGCCGGGATCATCAGCTCCTTCCTGAAGAGCAGCAAGAGGACCCTGAACCGGCTGTAGCCTGGGCCTGGGGCTTCGGAGGCCTCGCTCCCACCACTCGCCACGCAGCCCCCCGCCCCAGCCAGGTGCGGGGGAGACCGGCCTCGCTGGTCTTGAAGATCTGCATGTGCTGAGGCACAGAAGCCTGGGGCAGGGTTTGGAGAGATGGGACCAAGATTCTGACTTTTAGCATCTGTGACCCACAGGGCAGCCGCTGTTTGGACTCGGGGGGGGGGGGGGGGTCCTGTGCTGTGGCTGACAGTCTGCAGTCAGCGGGTGGAGAGAGGAGTGGCCAGGCTGCCGCCCAGCTGGATGAAAAACAAAACGACCTTGTGTTCTCACTGCTTCTGAGGCTCTCTCACTGCCAGCGGGGACCCTTCCGCCGGGGCAAGGGGAGAAAACAGCAGACACTTGGCGAGAGGAGAGTCCAGGGACAGGCCGGGAACAGAGATCGGAAGGGAGCGGGCGCTCCTGGGGCCCGTGGCGTCCTGACAAGCCCTCACAGCGGGCAGGCGCCGCCGGCACCGGGACCCGGGCAGTCTGGGGCGAGCGCTCCCGACTTTCATGTCCTCGCCAGCCACGCACCGTCACCGTTCGCTGCCCCGCTCCGTGGGGCCCCCGGGCCGGCTCAGCTCAGTAGGGACGGAATCTGCGCTGGGCCCGCATCAGTTCAATCCTCTGCTTGTCCTCCTCAAACTTCCTGCGCAGCTGGGCTAGATCTGGGCCGGGAAGCACAGGGGGAGACGGGGCCACATCAGCCCGTGCGAGCCACGCGGGGGGCTGTGCCACGCGGCCCCCAGCGCTGCAGGCCTCTGCGCTGAGAGGCGGTCTGGACGCTGCATGGAGACGGCCTAGCCTGCAGGCCCAGTCAGAGGGAGGAAGCTCAGGACGGTGCAGCACGCCTGAGGTTTCCGGGGGACCCCCTGCCAGTGACAGAGGAAGCACAGAGAAGGCAAGATAGCCGCTCCCTTGCCGACCCCACCCCACCCCACATGCCCAAGGTGAAGGCAGGTGGCTTGGGGGTGTCGGGAGCCCCCGGGGCACCCCTTCCAAGCTGCCCCACAAGCAGGGGAATCGGGGGTGGAGGCAGCAAGCTCGGCATCATCAGGGCCGTGAGTGGCCACAGGCTATTGCTCACCCCAACACTCTCCTTGTGGGGACACCACCCCCCCACTGCTCACTCGGGACACTCTCCCACTCCCCCCCTCACATCCGGCAGCAGCCCCCTCTCTGCACCCAGTGAGCACCTGAGATCCACCCTCTGCCTCGTGGCCCTGTGCTGGGGGCTGACAAGTTCCAGCCCCAACTGCTCAGGGCTCTGCGCCTCTGAGCAACCCAGGGGGCCCCACGGCTGCCACCGGGGAGCCAACTGGGGACTGCCACTGTAGGCTTGGGCCCCAACTCCAGAGCCTACTGGAAGTCTGTGCCCGAGGACACCCCCACCCCGCACCCGGGGCCGGCCACAGTAGCCACGGGCCTGGGCCCCGAGGGACGTGGGGCGAAGCGCAGGGGCCCGGGGCACTCCTTACGCTCCATCTTGGTCTCTCGGTGCTGCCACGCGTAAAAGTTGAGGAGCTCCTTGCGGGCGCGCTTCCGTCTCTCCCTCTCCAGCACCCGCAGGCTCGCCGCCTCTGTCCGGGGTAGCACGGGCCGCCGGCCCCGGCGGGTCACCTTCACCCAGCCCTCCTCGTCCGGAATCCCTTCCTCCTCCTTGGCCTTAGCCTCCTCCTGCAAGGAAGAGACCCCGTGGTGGGCAGGCGCCTGGGACCCGCCTTCCCCTTGGGGCCCCTCCCTCCCGCACCTGGAGACCTCCCCGGGCACACACCACCTCCTGCTGTGCCCTCTCCCCTCTCTGTGGGGGGCGCGGGAGCCCTGGTGCCATCACCGCCTCCTCCCTCAGACCGTCTGTTGCCTACAGACCACTTGGCGATGTCACCCAGCTCGGTGGCCCAGGGCTCAGCGGGGAAAAGGGAGCCTGGACTCCCCACAGGAACCAGGACCGGCCACCCCTGCCCCCCACGGAGCCACACCACCACACCCACGACACCAGCTTCCCCATGGCCACACAGACGAGGCGCAGCCACCTCTCCGGGAGCCCCACCTCCGCTATCTTCTTGTCATACGCCTCCATGAACGTGTCCACTTCGACCCTCAAGGCCTCGGGGTCCGGCACCGAGTCTGTGTAGTCGCTGACCCACTCTGAGGGAGAAAGGAGGGAGGGAAGCTGGGCTTCCGCAGGCCTGAACCCTTGGGGCCACCCAGTCAGGATCTCTTTGTTCCTAAAGTGGGCTTCACACCCAGCGTGGGGCTTGAACTCACGACACTAAGATCAAGACCTGAGCTGAGATCAAGAGCCGGTTCTTAACCAACTGAGCCCCCCGGGCACCCTCTCCCCCACCCCCGTCAGGATCTTCTTACACCAGGCTGGCGACTTGTGGCCCAAGCTTCAGGTGCTAACAGTCCAGTGGCAGCAAGCTGGGCCCGCCCCCATGCCCACCCTGAGTGCCAGGCCCACAGCGCCTCCCCGCCAACCCAGGGCCCGACACCGCGGTACTGACTGTGAACGCCACTCTTCACAGGGTGACTGTCTGTTGAGACCAGCAAAGGGCCCTTCAGGGCTAAGGCAGCCGAAACCCCACCTGGCTTCTGGAACACCACGTAGGCTACCTGGAAGCCCTGGGGGAAGGAGAGGTTGGAACGCCAGGGCCTTCCCGTCCCAGTCAGCTGGCACCCCGCACAAGGGCTGCCACTTGCCCTCAGCCAGACTTGTCGCTGGACCAGGGGACATGTGCTGGGCTGCTCCTGACCGCTGAAGGCAGGCAGGAAGTGACCTGTGACCCTAGGGAGGGACGGCCACGCTCCTGGTTTCCCCACTTGTGCTAGAAGCGGCCCAGGCGAGGTGACACTCAGGACCTTCCTCCCGCTTATGGGAGGGACTCCGTGAAAAGCGAGCTCACCTGGCGCCACGGACGGACACCAGCTCCCACGCACTGGGCCGGGAGCAGGCGTGGGCTCAGGGCTCACGGGGAAACCAGAGTGGGCCTGGGGCCCGAGGACGAATGGACTTCGGCGGGGGAAGCAGGCGGGGGGCTCAGGGAGGCTTTCCCCCAGGGCGATGGAAGAGCCAGACGAGAAGCTAAGGGATGAGGCAGATGTGGGGAAGGGAGCGGGGTGCCTTCTGCCCAACAGGCGTCCTCAACCACACAGACGAGGACCGGCCCAGCACCACGGGGACCGCTCAGCCACCCTGCTGTCCCCCCTCTCCGCCCTGCGCACACTGCGGACGCGGTCACGGCCCCACCCCGCGCCCCATGCGAGCAGACCGCAGAACTTGGTCACCTACCGGAACGGGTGTGGGATGAAAAAACTTGGACTTTGGTTCCTTCCGGCGGTCAGTGAGGTCCGGCTTCTCCTGTAACTCCACGGACTGGACATGGCCGCAGGGGGAGAGGAGGCGGGCCAGGCACTCCTGGGAGGCCAGGCGGGGAAAGCACGGCTTGAGAGGCAGCAGGGCCCCCTCTGCCCAGGGCAGCACCACTGGGGGTGCGGGCGGTCCCAGAGTCCATGTCTGCCCCATCAGGGGGCCCACACACAGGCCTGGACAAACCACATCCCCGGCACCGTCCCAACCCTGCCTCCCACAGCCCAAGACATCAATCTTGTGAATTTGCACGTTCAAAACTAGGAGCGGAGTGGCGCCTGGGTGGCTCAGTCGGTTAAGAGACCGACTTCGGCTCAGATCGTGATCACACGGTTTGTGGGTTCGAGCCCCGTGTCAGGCTCTGTGCTGACAGCCAGCTCAGAGCCTGGAGCCTGTTTCAGATTCTGTGTCTCTCTCTCCCTCAGAAATAAATAGAAGTTAAAAAAAAAAAACAAAACAAACAAACAAACAAACAAACAAAACCTAGGAGCAGAAAACCACATCCACACCACACCAGCCCAGGCACTGGGAGGGAGGAGGCAGAGTGAGACACAGAATCCAGGAATGAGCTTTCTGACCGGACTTTGCTGGAAGCACAGGCCCAGGATGGGCTTGGTTTGTCCCTGAAAGGGATTTCTCACTTTGAGAGGCCATCTCGCTGGAAGATCAGTCCTTCCCTACCAACATCGCTGGGTGAGTAACCTCCAAAGCAGGGTCAGGGTCTATTATAAGAATAGACATTTTGGGAGTTACTTGGAATATTCTGATTTTACAACCAGCTAACTTTTCCTCCCTGCAGCAGCCATTTCAAACTGGAGTTAAATCAATGTTCTAGTTGCTGGACTCAGGCTGGCTGTGACCCTCGTGGGGGGTAGGGGGGGTATGAAGGGCTTTCTTGGGCACAGGTCATGTTGTGGGTGCTGAGTCCACGGGTGTGTTCCGTTTGTGAAATGCGGTGAGCTGTACACTAGGGCCCGGGCCCTCCTCTGTTTACACAACACACTTCAGGAAAAGGCAAAAAAAACGCCACCCTCTCTTCTGCTTCTTTCTCTAGAACAATCTTTTATCTTATTTATTTATTTATTTTTAAATGTTTTATTTATTTCTAGGAGAGAGAGAGACAGCGTGAACAGGGGAGGGTCAGAGAGAGAGGGAGTCACAGACTCTGAAACAGGCTCCAGGCTCCGAGCTGGCAGTCAGCACAGAGCCCGACGCGGGGCTCGAACCCACGAACCGCGAGATCATGACCTAAGCGAAAGTCGGACGCTTAACTGACTAAGCCACCCAGGCGCCCCTAGAACAATCTTTTAGAAATTAGTATTTCTTTTTTGAATCACAATTCATCTAAAACCCAGCAACTCCCTCAGTTTCTCTTCTGTAAACTTACGTAATGCAAAACTTCACTGTTTTTGTGAAAGAAAGTTAATGTCTGGATAGACTGAGAGGTAACGTTATCTTCTTATGTTTTTTCCTATGGAGACGGATCACTTTTATAATCAGGGAAAAACATGTAATTCAAAGAATTCTGGGTAATAACAAAAAGCTTTGAGCTCCTCAGAACTATAATTTTTTTTAAGTTTATTTATTTATTTGGGGGGCAAGGGGCAGAGAGAGAGAGAATTGCAAGCAGGCTCCACACTGCCAGCGTGGAGCCTGATGCGGGGCTGGAACCCATGAACCACAAGATGGTGACCTGAGCTGAAATTTAGTCAGAAGCTCAACCAACTGAGCCACTCAAGTGCCCCATAAAACACAGCTTTAAAAAGCCATTTCTGGGTACCTGGCTGGCTCAATCTGTGGAGTGTGTGACTCTTGATCCTGGGATGTGAGTTTTTAAGACCCACGTTGGGTGTAGAGATTACTTAAAAAAAAATTTTTTTTTAAGCCATTTCCTATCAAGAGACAGAGGCAGGCCTCTACATGCTCTCCGCTGGGGGCTTCAGTTAGATGCTTCCATCTCACCACTAAGGACCTGGTGGAGGCCGGTGGGAGCCCGGCCCTTCAGGGAGCTCCAGGCCAGCCCTATGGGCTCCCTCCCTCCCAGCCGCCGCTCACCTCTGTGCAGTATGGGGGCACGTTGAGGACAAAAAGGGTCCGCTTCTGAGGCCAGGAAGACTTGGTGCCTTCTCGAACTCTGTGCTCTCTCACATAGAGGTAGTGAGAAGCCTGCTGCTTTTCCGAGAACTTGATCGGGATGGCTGGATGGGAAATGGGGGCAGGAATGGATGGCGTGAAAATCAAGGTCAGGCTGTCCCTTTCTAGTCCTGTCTGTCTGTGCGTTCCATCACTGCGCCCTTCCCCTAGGCGAGGTCTCTCTGCCAGCCAGGGGAGTGAGCGAACAGAGAAGCTGCCCAGGAGGGGCTCCTAAGCTCGTGGGGGAGAGAGTGTAAATGGGCAATTGTTACAGGCAGGGAGCAAATGAGAGGGGAGTCCAAACCGGGCTGCTGTTGGGGTCAACACCAAAATCCTGACAACGGCTGGAGGCCTTGTCAGACCCTGACGCCTTTCACCTCTTTTCAGCCCCATGTCCCCCCAGCCACTGGGTGGGCCTGCCACTCTGCCATCTCCCTATTCCTCCAGGAAGCCCAGGCCTGACCTGTGCCCACACATTTCCCTTTACCTGAAACATCAACCCTCCTCCCTTCACCCATTCTTCAGGTTTTCTTTTTACGTTTATTTTATTTTTAAGATTTTTAAAAAGATGTTTATTCTTTTTTTTTTAACGTTTTATTTATTTCTAGGAGAGAGAGAGAGACAGCGTGAGCTGGGGAGGGTCAGAGAGAGAGGTAGTCACAGACTGAAACAGGCTCCAGGCTCTGAGCTGGCAGTCAGCACAGAGCCCGACGCGGGGCTCGAACCCACGAACCGCGAGATCATGACCTAAGCGAAAGTTGGACGCTTAACCGACTAAGCCACCCAGGCGCCCCAAAAGATGTTTATTCTTGAGAGAGAGAGAGAACGAATGGGGGACAGGCAAAGACAGAGGGAGACAGGATCCAAAGCAGGCTCTGTGTTGACAGCAGAGACCCCGATGCGGGACTCAAACATACAAACTGTGAGATCATGACCTGAACTGAAGTCGGACACTTAACCGACTGAGCCACCCTGGCGTCCCCTAGCCTTCAGGCTTGAACTTCCTCGGAGAGCCTTTCATGCCAGGTTAGAGCCATCTGCTCTGTGTCCCAAAAACACCTCTCGGGGTGTCTAAGCCTCTGTCTGTGTGATCATTTGGATAATCACTGACATTCCCATAATGCCAGAGACTGTTTTCTGGTCTTCTTCAGAGCACAGTGGGGGCAGAGCTCAGGAAGCTTCCATGGGAGTGGGAGAAGGCACCCGACAAGCAAGCACGTAACAAGATTCTATCAAGTATGAAAGAAAGGGGAGAACAGTGCAGGGTGGCCAGGTGGCAGAGGCCATCAGAACGGCCTCGTTGAGGAGCTAGCATTAAAGCCCCAAAGCACAGCTGTGTGAGGAAGAGGGCACAGCGAGTGCAAAAATCCTGAGGGTGTAAAGGCTTTGTTGCTTCAGAGGAACAGAGCTTCAGGTCAGCCGAGCCAGAACAAGTGGGGGTTGGGGCACCCACACGAGTCAATGGTAAGAAATTTAGATTTCGGATTTTGTTTTAAGGTGCCAACTCCTGAGACCACTGGAGGGAGTGGGTATGGGGGTACCGGCAGGCGTGTGAGGCAAAATCTGATTTAACATTCCGGCACCCGGGCGAACGGAAGGCTCAAGAACAGAAGCATGAGAGCCGATCAGGAGGGCACAGCCAGGTGAGGGTCGACAGGGGCCAGACTAGGGCTTGCAAAGAAATGGTAAGAAGTGGGGGGGCTCACTTCTGGGGTGGGGGTGTGGACACGGACACGGGTTCGTCCCGGGTAAGAGTGTGGACAGACACGCGTTTACCTGAGGAAGCGTTACTAACGGGCTCATCCCCGGAGAAGGCCGCCGGACGCAGGGCGCAGCGTCGATGTCGCGGACCTCGGGGCCTCCGGGACTCACACCCAACAGCGCGGCCGCTCCCGGGGCCCCCGTGCCACCGCCGCCTCCCGGAGAAGCCTGGCGTCCCCGGACCCGCAGCTCCTCACCTGAATACCCGGGCGGGCTCGGAATCGCCTGCTCGGAGTCCTGCGCCGCACGCTTCCTCCTGCGCGCCACCATCTTGCAACCGGAAGCTGCGGGGGCCGCTGGGAGTTGCAGTTTGGCGCGCGAGCCCGAGCGTTCCCATGACGACGGCGCCGCGTGCGGGCCCGCCCCCTCGGTTCTCGGCCCGCCTTCCCGCCCTAGTGCCTTCAGGGCTTAACCTTTGTTTGCTCTGAATAAAGTCGGCTCTTAAACGTGTGAGTCACTGTCCGGGTGTGGATGGAACGCCACCATCCACCCACTCCACAAATGGCAATGCAGGCCGCATTGAAGCTGACCGTTTTACCTAACCAGTTTTAAAAACTGTTTATTTTGGGGGCGCCTGGGTGGCTCAGTCGGTTAGGGTCCGACTTCGGCTCAGGTCACGATCTTACAGTTCATGGGTTTGAGCCTCGCGTCGGGCTCTGTGCTGACAGCTCCGAGCCTGGAGCCTGTCTTCGGATTCTGTGTCTCCCTCTCTCTCCTACCCTCCCCTGCTCACGCTGTCTCTCTCTCAGAAATAAATAAAACATTAAAAAAAATTTTTTTTAAATAAAAATATTTTTGAGAGAGAGAGAGAGAATGAGCAGGGGAGGGGCAGAGAGAGAGACAGAATCCAAAACAGGCTCCAGGGTCTGAGCTGTCAGCACAGAGCCCAATGGGGCTCGAACTCATGGACAGTGACATCATGACCTGAGCCGAAGTGCTTAACTGACTGAGCCACCGAGGCGCCCCATTAACTGACCATTTTTTAAGTGTACAATTCAGTGGCATTAAATGCATTCTCATTATTGTGCAAACCGTCCTCGTTATCCATCTGCAGAATTTTTTATCCTCCCAAACGAAAACTCTACCGTGTCCCCCTTCCTCCAGCCCCTGATAATCACCATTCTTTCTATTTCTAGGAACGTGACGGTCCTAGGTGCCTCATATAAATGGGATCATACAATATGTGTCCTTTTGTGCTGGTTTATTTCACTTAGCATGTTTTCATGATTAATGCACACAGTAGCATGTCTCAGAATTTCCTTCTTTTTTAGTACTAATATTGCGTTGTATGTATAGATCATATTTTGCTCATCCGTCTATGGACATTTGGGTTTTTCTACTTTTGGCGATTGTGAATAACGTTGCTATGAATGTTCTATACAACTTTGTGCCGACATGTTCTAATTTCTCCTGGATATTTATCTAGGAGTAGAAGTTCTTGATCCTAGGGTAATTCTATGTTTAACTTTTTTTAAAATATTTTTATTTATTTCTAGGAGACAGAGACAGCGTGAGCAGGGGAGGGTCAGAGAGAGAGGGAGACACAGACTCCGAAACAGGCTCCAGGCTCCGAGCTGGCAGTCAGCACAGAGCCTGACGCGGGGCTCGAACCCACGAACCGCAAGATCATGACCTAAACGAAAGTCGGACGCTTAACCGACTAAGCTACCCAGGCGTCCCTATGTTTAACTTTTTAAAAATTTTTTTCAAACATTTTATTTTTGAGAGACAGACAGAGGGTGAGTAGGGGAGGGGCAGAGAGGGAGAGACACAGAGTCGGAAGCAGGCTCCAGGCTCTGAGCTGTCAGCACAGAGCCCAACGCAGGGCTTGAACTCACAAACTGTGAGATCATGACCTGAGCTGAAGTCAGATGCTTAACCAACTGAGCCACCTAGGCACCCCTATATTTAACTTTTCGAGGAACTGCCAGACTTTTCCAAAGGCTGCATCATTTTAAAATCTCACCAGTGGAGTATGAGGTTTCCAAATTCTCCACATCCTCACCATTATTTGTTATGCCTATATTTTGATTATAGCCATTCTAGGGAATCCACAGTGGTGTCTTATTAGTTTTTTTTTAATGTTTATTTTTGAGAGAGCGAGAAAGAGTGAAGAGGGGAGGGGCAGAGAGAGAGGGAGACAGAGAATCCCAAGCAGGTTCCACGCTGTCAGCATAGAGCCTGACTCGGGGATCAAACTCACAACTATGAGATCCTGACCCTAGTTGAAATCAAGAGTCAGATGCTTAACTAAGCCACCCAGGCACCTCTTTCATTGCGTTTTGATTTGCGTTTCCCAAATGATTAATGTTAAGTACCTTTTCATGTGTTCATTGGCCATTTGTTTATCTATTTTTTGTTCTGAGAAATGTCCAAAGTCTTTCCTCATGTTTTATTGGGTTATCTGTACTCTTATTGTTGCACTGTAAGAGTTCTTTATCTCTTCTGGATGCAATTCCCTCCTAAAATATATGATTTGCAAATATCCTCTCCTATCCTATTCTGTCGGTTATCTTTTCACTTTCTTAAAGGTATCCCTTAAAGCATGAAAGATTTTAATTTTGATTGTTAAACTTTTTTTCTTCAATTTTTAAAATATTTTATTTATTTCTGAGAGAGAGAGAGAGAGAGAACGAGAACAGGGGAGGGTCAGAGAGAGAGGGAGATACAGAATCTGAAGCAGGCTCTGAGCTGGCTGTCAGCACAGGGCCTGACGTGGGACTCAAACCCACGAACCGTGATATCATGACCTGAGCCAAATTAGGACGCTTAACCAACTGAGCCACCCAGGCACCCCTTGATGAAATTAAACTTATTTTTTGAGGGTACCGAAGGTCAGATACTTTTTTTTTTTTTTTTTTAAATATTTTTATTTATTTCTAGGAGAGAGAGAGAGAGACAGCATGAGCAGGGG